TCACATAATAGTCTTCCAATGCCTGTACTCTTGTGAAATTTTTTACCACTGACATCACATGATCCTTAAACTCCTCATTTTAGGATCGCATTTCTCCTTCTAGTAGTCATTTTCACAATTATAGGGAAACACTTGATCAATATTTATTTATTCATTCATTTTGATAGATGTCAAAAGCTGTCTCAAATTAAACTGAGTTTTATTTGCAAAGATCATAAAGACATAACATTTCGTTTCAAATTCTTGGATTTTTCTACTGGTTATGGATTTTACCAACGAAGAAATGACTGATATGTTATTATTATATGAAGAAGCGAGAAGAAACGGTAGAATGGCATTACGTCTATACGAAGAAAGATTTCCTAATCGTAGAGTACCTCACCATTCTACTTTTGCCAGCATAGAAAGGAGAATTCGTGAAACAGGCAGATTAAGTGTCCGAAGAAATAATGCAGGAAGGCGTAGAACCACAAGAACAGTTAGATTAGAGGAAGAAATATTGAACGAGGTTTCGGAGAGGCCATCGTTGAGTACCAGAACCATAGGTCGAGCATTGAATGTGAGCAATTCCATTGTGTGGAGAGTACTGCGAGAACAAATGCTACAGCCATATAAACTCACCAGAGTACAAGCATTGGAACCGAGAGACTATCCCACGAGAGTGGAATTTTGCAATTGGTTCAACGAAATGTGTCGTGAAGACGTAAATTTCCCTGAGTATGTTCTATACACTGACGAAGCGAAATTCACCAGAGAAGGAATTTTCAATACAAGGAACAGTCACGTATGGAATGACGTGAATCCACACGAAATTCGTCAACGTGGGTTCCAGACCAAATTTTCCATCAATTTGTGGGCCGGTATTGTCGGAAATTGTCTGATTGGTCCATATATTTTACCCAATAAATTAAATGGATCAATTTACAGACGTTTCCTACAAGAAGTTCTTCCAGAATTGTTGGAAAATGTGCCGCTGGTCATCAGAAGGAACATGTGGTTCCAACATGATGGTGCGCCTGCACATTTTGACAGAAGTGCAACAGCTTTACTCAGTGAAAGATTTGGTGACCAATGGATTGGACGTGGTGGTCCTCACGTATGGCCCCCTAGGTCACCAGATCTGAATCCGATCGATTTTTTCCTTTGGGGTCATATGAAATCCTTAGTGTACGACACCATTGTAGAAACTGAGGAGGAACTTATTGCAAGAATACAGGCTGCAACGGAAATCATAAATACTAACCGTGAGATATTTTCAAATACGCGTTTTGCGATGAGAAGACGTTGCACAATGTGTCAACAAGTCAATGGCCAGAACTTCGAACAGTTACTATAATTTTGGGTTGATATTTTTGTTATTTCATGTTGAACGATTTTGAGTAAAAAAATTTGAAGACTAATCACATTTTTCGTTTTTTCTAGGAAATGGTGGGTTCTATCGAGTTCAATCAAGTGAGCCTTTTTCAATCAAAATTAAATGGCCTTCAATAATACCACATGAAATTTCGAAAATTCATATCACAACACATTTTTTTTTGCAAAATCAATGAATCATATCCCTTAACGGCGCCACTGGATGAATTGTTGATTATGAATTTTTTGTCTGGAATTGAAGTTCCTCAATATTGATTCACTTTTCGAGTTTGAATGAAAAAAGATCAGCCGTTTTTGAGTTATTGCGAATAAATTATTTTTATTTCCCAACTTCAACACCCTGTAACTCGATAACTAATCACGTGGGACCCTTATGTTCCTACCTCATTTTTCTCCAAATCACGAGAGCTACCTCCTGTGAAGCGTTGTCGGTCGAATTTCGAAACACCCTGTATATATATATTCTTAATCTATTCTGCCCCTCTTGGTATTTTGAAGTTCCGGCGCCTATGGCTGGAGTACAAACGTAAATGTGTCCTACTTTTTGAATCACACTGGTAAAATCTCAAAAACGCAAAATAAGCCTGTATTCCAATATTGAAACACAGTTTTCAGCATTCTCCGGTGAGGACGCTAGGAATCGGTGTCGAAATGTTGGAAAACATGGGATCGCGCGCCCCCACTTTTCCCCCTCTAAAAATTTTTTTTTCTTGAAACAAAAAATACTGGGCTCTTCACAAAGGATGAACGGATGTTTCTCTGGAAGCGGATTTTGAGTTTTTGTCTTAGTTTTTTCAAAAAAAAATTCTGAATATACTCGAAAAATGCAATGTTCATGATTTTTTTGCAGAATATCGGTGAATTTTTTCAAAATTCTGCTTCCAGAGAAACCTAGATATTTCAATTCTTCATCTCACCATATTTTTTGTTTTCCGAAAAAATCAATATTGAACAATGAAAAGTGGGGGCGGAGAAAACATGTTTTCATTGCACTGATGCATGGTGTATCCTCCTCTTAATACTAGAATCAATTTCATTTGATAAGTAGGTCGAATCAATGTTATCGGAAATTATTGAGTCATTTCAAACCTCGTTTCAAACTAAGAGAAAAGATCCAAATCTATGTTTATTCTAAAAATAATTTTCAAAAATATAATCCACTCGTGTGAGATAATTTTGAAAATGTTATTCTGTTCATAAACATGACGCATTTTGTTCTCGATGTTGTTATCAGAAATTACAAATTTTAAATAATCGATATCTTGGATAAACATATACAGGGTGATTCAAAAGTAAGCGGCATCCTTTCAGAGGCGTATTCCTTGCTTGAAAATAAGGCAAAAAGTTCCTATTTATAAGGATCCGAAAATGCTTCCTAAGGGAGCTACGGCCCTTTGAATAGGACACCTCAAAGACGGTTTTTTCTCTATAACTTTAAAATCCTTCACAACAAATTTTTAAAAATTGGTGTACGGCATAAACATTCGATGGTAAATATGACTCCGTATTCGAAATTTCAGAATTTCATTCAGGGGCGTCACATGCGGGAGAGGGTAAGTGTAAAAATATCCCTTCTTCTCCGGATATTCAGGTTACTGTGATTTCGTTTGGAAATTATTTCGAATACGGAGTCCTATTTACCATCGAATGTTTATGCCGTACACCAATTTTTAAAAATTTGTTGTGAAGGATTTTAAAGTTATAGAGAAAAAACCGTCTTTGAGGTGTCCTATTCAAAGGGCCGTAGCTCCCTTAGGAAGCATTTTCGGATCCTTATCAATAGGAACTTTTTGCCTTATTTTCATGCAAGGAATACGCCTCTGAAAGGATGCCGCTTACTTTTGAATCACCCTGTATACTCGTGTCTCACATAATTAATAAAGTCGTAAAAATTTCAAAATAATGAAAACAAACCTGCAAAATGCAAAAGCATTGAACAACAACGAGTAATATCCGAGGTGATGACTAATTTTTTATAATCAAGAATTCTTTTCGACCATCAATGAATGTATGGTAGTGATTATTGAATATAAAAAGCCGATTAAAAAGATTATTATATTAATTGAAAAAAACAAAACCTATTCTTCGAGTTCTCAGAAAGTGCAATGTGAAAAAAAACGGTAAAAAACTCGGTTAATAATCATGATGGTTGATAGCTATCGGTGAATGAAACTATAGGAATAAGTCGAGGAATAACTTAGTAATATAGTGCCTTAAAATCTATCATCAAATCCATAATTTAGAACCTGAGAAGTACCCTGATTTTCTGCAAGAAGTTTACCAAGGAGTCATCCCTCAATTTCCTTATCAGGATAAATCCACGTATGTCCTGATGGGTCACTTGCCACAAAGTGCTAGTATATGAATGCTCGTGTGAAAGTGTACAAAAGTTAACACTTCACTCGAATGTGAAGCCAGGTATACATAAACCATTATAAATTTTCTGATCTAATACAATATGCGTTCTTTACAAAAATAACAAGGTTTGTGAAATCAAGCAAATCATTTCTATTTACTACTGATGAACAATTCTATAATTGATATGAGGAAGTTATCGATCTATATAAAAAATAATAAATACCAAAAAATAGGTATAACATTGCCATTACTTAAAAAATGAAACACTGAAAGCTCGAAAAATTAAAATTACATTACATTTTTCACCGAAGGTTGAGGTAGTTGATCTCCCCCTCGATATTCTTCTCGAATAGAAATAATACTATCACTAAATAGTTATTTATTATACAAGGGAAAAAAGTAGTGGATTTTAGCTCCAGGTTGTAGCAGAGGGAGAAAAAAAACTTCGAAAAAAACCGTGAGCTTAAATCTAATATTGTTCAATGATATACGACCCTAAATACGTCACTGGTTGACAAAATTTAGAAATAAAAACTCTATGTGATTACCCTGATTAATCTTTATCGGTATACCGAGTTTCATATTTTTGGCTACAGAGGTTCTGGAGAAATTTAGAGAGATCTTTTTTCGTACTTTTGACACCCTGTATCTCAGTGAGGATGTATTTTAGGACATACGTTGATGAGAACCTTTATTTACAACCATATAATATGATTGTAATGTTGTCATTACTAACGTCATTGAAGGTTGGGAAGTGTCACATTACACACCTGTACTTCCCGCCCCTCATTACTGCCCGCCCTCACTCATGTAATAAGTCAGGTATGTTCAGAACGAAACATAGATTCATTGATTTTGATCCAAATATGATGGTTGTAAATAAAATAGCATACTAACCTCGGTAGGAAGTTTCATTCCTGTCTCGAAATTATAGCTAACCTCGACGCTTTGCGTCTCGCTTCTAATCTCACGACAGGAATGAATCACTTTCCACCTCGGTGTGTAATATACTAATTCACCTCAAAATGTGGCGAGGAAACCGTGGTTGAAGTTTGTCGGTCTTATTCTGACTCACCCTGAATATCCAGGTGATATTCGAGGTGATATTTCATAACCTGTCAACAGAGATGATATGTCAAACTTTTTTCCCATCACAGAAAAATATACTTATTCGATAAAAAATGCGAAGAAGCAAAGTTGTTGGTTTGAAAAAACTGTTAAAGGGGCAGCTATAAGATGAGATGTGACTGATAGGTGGGTGTACTCACCGACTTGTAGAACTCCGTCGACACACCCCGTTTCGAGCAGCTTCAATCCCTTGCAGAAGGACAAATTTTGCGGCTCCCCGTTCGAATTGACGGCCGGCACTCGCGACAACGACGAATACATGCAAATGTCTCTTTCGTTTCTCGGAAACGACCAAAAAACGATCCTCCTCTGCACGGGCTCAGGAATGCGGTCGTACCTGCACACAAAAATCAGATCAGACTTGAAAATAACTTATTCCGTCACGATGTTCATTTTGGGAATATTAATTATAGGTACTGTGAATGTTGAAGAGATTAAGTCCAGCGGACTAGAGGGAGACTCGAAGCATTGGGAGTCGTGCGAACTTCAGTTTGATATTCGATTGGAGAAAGAGGTACGTTCATCAGGAGTCTGTGTATGTAACAATTGCATGTGGCCATTTTATATTGACGTGGGTGGCTAACAACTTCTTTGAACCATTGTCGTTCTTGATGACAACCTAGTTAGGTAGTTAGTAAGCAAGAGCTATAATAACCTCCTCGCACTAAGTCGCCTACTATAGGTTTTCATTTAGATCGACACCTCCTCGCACTAGGTCGCCTGCATGGTTTTCATTTAGATCGACAATGGTTGAACGAATTCCATCATATAAATACTATAGTTTCGGCGGCGCAAGATGTTTAGTTGAGTGCAGACAATGCGTTAACTGATTTGAGATCGCAGTTGAATGATTTGAGAGGTCTGGTAATAGGGAGTTCAATGTTGTATCACCGAACATCAACTAAAGATCTTTAGTTGATGTTCGGTGGTTGTATTTAGGACGAAACGTAGCAATTTAATTCGTCTACGATTTCCATTGAATATCTCAAATAATGTCCACGATTGATGGAGACCCCTCGTGGAGACCATTTCTAATGGAGGCTGTTCAGTTCACTGAAAAATCGTCAACAGTTCCTCTGGAAATTTACAATACTCCACGACACTCTCTCGAGTGTTTCGAAGCAATAATGAACTATATAATTCATAAATGGATTTCCTGGAAGGGCATGTGAAACATATTTCCCGTAAGTTCGAGTAGGTTATTCAAAATATTTATTCAAGGATAGATTCTCAGTAGATTTTATTGGATCACTCTGATTAGAATCTCGATAGGACTGCAATGAAACAATGACAAACTCATTTGTCGATCTTCGAGGTCGAAGCAATGATAATATTGACTGTTCAAAATTGCAATTTATAAAATTTCCTGAGGAATGCGGAATGCGACAAACAATATTCATCATGAATGGTGCGACATTTCAGAACCTCATTGTATAGGAATTGTACACTCGTCTTCAGAAAACATGTCGCAGTTGGACGGTGTGATCACTCTTATTGCAGCGGTGATTTAGAGCGCTTACACCGAGGCTCACACCGTTCAATCGCGACATGTTTTCTGAAGACGAGTGTACATACATTGTACCTACTTGACACTTTACACACAAGCTAGTTTCCATTATTTACAATCAGAAATATGATTAAGCAGATAAACAAACGGTATGAGTGTAAACATTATTTGTGCTGATGATCAATGTGATGCACAGGAGGTAACGAACGACGTGTTTGAATATTTTTTATTTCGGTATGTATGTACCCACCCACATGAAAAATGTGCTCGAAAAAAGCCATTCATGATTTCTGGTAAATGGTCATCTGGTATACTGTCATTACCGAGGTCATTACCTGCAAACTTGAATTATTTGCTCTATTTGTTCAACAAAAAATCTCTTATGGAACTAGAGATCATAACTTCTGATGTTGGCCTTCGATGGTTTTTGTGAAAAAGCCTTTTCACGGTTTTGTCAATATTAAAACAGCTGTCGAGTTCAAAATAAACCGAAATGAACTGTGTTACTCAAATGAATATGCGAATACAAAATTAAGTCTCTCAATTTCTTATCAATGTCAATGATAGTCGAGATGATAGTAGTGAAACTTCGGTAGAAACAAATTCATAAATAGATAGCTAGATGCGATTGGCGAATATGGAAACCGAGATGAGAACCATGGGAATTGAAAATCATAAAAAAGTAAGGGTTTTCAGCCTGTCTGGCTTCAAAAAATCGCAAAAATCAACAGTTTTTGAGATATTAAACCGTATTTAAATCAAGAACATGCTTAGGTACCGACCTATATTAATTATAATCATCAGACAGATGCACTCAGCACTCAGCAGATGTCAATATATCAATCGATCAATCACCTTTATTACCAAGAAACAACATTTGTTTATATTATAGCAGGAAATATGTTAAATATATAAATATACCTATTTGACAAAATAAAGAAGATAGTAAAATAAAACTCACACCCAAGAGAAAATTTTTCATTTTAAGTTCATCTGAAAATGATTCTTAATTGACTGAGCTGTTACATACTCAATGAAAAACTATAGTGATTGTACGAGAAAACCAAGGAGACAACTACCTATAAAAATGAGATAAGATGTCAATATTACAGGAGTAGATGTTTCTTTAATTTTTCATCACCTTCAAGTTATTTGGTAGTGAATTGTATTGTATTGTATGGATGTTTTATCAATATATCATTTGATTTTCTTGACAGAAAAATGATCGACTTGTCTAGTTGTATGGATGTGGAGACTACTATCAATTTGGAAAATCAAATTTGAATGGTTTTGACAATATTCAACTAAAGGAATGAATGATAATAATTTGAATTTATATAGTGAATCTATATCTAATAACTCTCTTCTTCTGTAAAGGTTTTTAGTAGGTTCCAAATAATTTAGTCTGTATATAATAGGTACAATTGATAATTATTTTATTTTGAAGTGTTTTGATGATCCCCATATACAGAAATGAAATATTGAAGTACAGAATAGATCAAGAATTATATAGATTTGAGATATTTTATAGGAACTTGATCGTTACTTCCGTACCCTAAAAAGTATATCTAATAGGTATTGGAGATATTATTAAATATTTTTCAATTATTTCAATATGTATGTTTTGACCATGACAAATTTTGATCTATGTACAGCCCAAGAAACTTGATATTATTTGAATTTTTGATGACTTCCTTATTACATGCGATTGGAAATTTGAACTCATTATATCCTGATTTTTTTTAGATGAACAGAAATGCTGATTTACTATAATTTATACTCAATATATAACATGATAACCATGATAATATTTTCAAATCACTTGAAATTTCATCCCTAATATGAATTTGTAACTACCTAGATATCGCTGACAACAAAAAATGTGTACTCAGTAATATGTAGATAAATTAACGTAGGTAGGTGTACTCTCTCCTATTTTCAGTTTGGAATTAGAAATAATGAAGAAATAATGTTCTACTACTAGCTCATCCACTCATTCATCTTTTTCTTCAAACTAGGTATTTTCAGCCTCACTGAGAAATAATCACGGCACTAATGCAATTAGAAAAAAAAAACGAACAGAACGACACACATAGACACTCAATAATTCATTATCTTAAGCACTTCCTAGTAAAAGTCGACGTCAGATAATGGCAAGGATGACAATAACAAAAATAACAATAATTTCTGTCGTACCGCTCCTCTATCCTCTGGAAGGGTATATTCTCGGCGACGACTTTAGCCGCGACGTCCAACAGAGCGTCGGGACGCTTCGGCGGCGGCCCAGGGCCCCTCAGCAGGAGGGCGGCCCCTACCGTAGCGGGAACGGAGGGCACCCCCCCGCTTCCGCTGCCGCCGCCGGCCCGCGAACAACACAAGCGCCTGGCCTGCGCCATCAACGAAGCACTCTCACTGACTGACTGAAACTGACGGCGGCGGCCGACGAAACTGGCCGACGCTAAGACGAATCGGCTGCGGCGGCGTTGCCAAGGGTACGTCGCCCGGTGTCTGCCTGACGATTGGGTGCGGGTGAGGTTTTTCGGCCGAGTGGTGCGGTTACGTGACATAGCGGTCGCGGCGATGTCACAATGCGACATATGGGATATCGCTAGTATGTAGTTTTGTAACTATCGGGAAAACATCCTGATGCTCCTAATTTGTATCTTTAGGGACAATATAGCTAGCTATACATTGATTAGTCACCAGTGAATTTCATCAACATTGAAATTGAGGAGTTCGATACAGTGTCGAATTCTTGGATCGTGGCAATAGGTCCAAAATACGAATAATTTTCACTTTGAATCATTATTTTTCTCTGTGAAATTATTCCATTAAATACCTTCCTCTTTTTGTTATACCATATAATATATCTACGACTACGTTCATATTATCTGAATAATAATAATTTAATTCAGATCTTCTTCTATTAACTTAAGGAGGAATCAAATCTCCTCCAAAAGTTCAAAAAAGTCTAACACCTACTTCCTCTCCCTACGCACGATGTTCTTCGAACATAAATTGTAGGAATTTCCTTTCGTCCGCTCCAAAAAATGAAAAAAATGAGTAAAATAGTTGATACAAAAAATGTGTGTTTGTCTTTTTATTTAATGTATCCATCATATTAGATTAATACCATATAGTTTGTGTTCTTTAAATAAACACAATTTGCACAGGAAATTGATGGAACGATGAGAATTATTTTTTAATGATTGTTGCACCGATTATTTCTCAGTGAGAAAATGCGACATTAGTTCAATTTTCATAGGACATCACAAATTGACAATATTGGCATATTATTAGCTTCAGATTTCAGATTTATTAAAAGGTCTGCTCGTTTGTATTGCTGAACTTTGCTGAAGTTTTTTCCCATAGTTGTCTCTGTTCATGGCACGATGTAAGAGAAAGTCATAGAAAAAAATCGAGTTTAGCAGATAGAGCAAATACCCAAACGAACAGGCCTGAAAAGATCAATTATGAACTCGGGTATTCACTACATCTTGAACGATCCGGCAACGCTGCTTCACCGAGGGGCCGGCGCTTGCGCAGTGGTCGCCTCGCAGACGACACTCAGCTGATTCGACCCCCGCGTGCGTAATGTGCTTTGTTTATGTTGGCCACATGGCGCAAGGTGCAGGGCGGGGGGCGCCAACCGTGGATGACGGGGGAGTTGAGAGGTTGGACCACTGGCAGTCTGTCATAAAAATGCGGGGTTGCCGTTCCGCCTGCAAGACGGAGATCTCCGTTATGGTAAAGGGCTGGTGCTTCGGAAAAGTACTACATAATTATTATTTTTGCCTTGTGAATATAGATTCAAATAGTAGAATTCTTGTTTATGTTACACAAGGTGAAATAAAAACCAAGTTGTTGATTTTAACCAATTTATGATAATATCAATCTAAATCGAGAAGCTAGTTAGTATACACTGTGTCCATAAAGTCACCCCCCCCCTTGGTTAACTATTGAACGGATGGGATTTTTTTTTTCAATTTTTGTTTGCTTCAATGGTGGTTTCAGTGCTATATATTGTTCCAAAAAAAAAATATGTATCCTCCAAAATGGCGCCTGGGCGCCATTTTGGAAGATTTTTTTAAATGGAGTGGGGGGTCGAAAGATACCTCGATTGAAAGGTCTTTCGATTCTCTATACAACCTCAGAATCTCAGACAAAAATATTCATCCAAAACAAAATGGCGGATGATAACGTTTGAAATCTCACACCAGAATTCTTTCGACTGGATGGCTATTAAAGTGCTCGCATGTGATCTTCAAATCTTTATTGGCGTATGAGTCCTCTTTCTATGAAGATATCAATAGAAAGCCATTTTGAAGAGCATAACATGGTAGTCACGTGGAATAAACATTGTTCTTTATTTTGAATAAATATTTCTAAAATTTTGCAGAATTTGGAAAGACAATCGAGCAAAGGTATAATTGACTACCATGTTATTCTTTTCAAAATGGCTTCCTATTGATATCTTCATGGATAGAGAACTCTTCTTTACGCCAATAGAGATTTGAAGATCACATGCGAGCACTTCAATAGCCATCTAGTCGAAAGAATTCTGGTGTGAGATTTCAAACGTTATCGTCCGCCATTTTGTTTTGGATGAATATTTTCGTCTGAGATTCTGAGGTTGTATAGAGAATCGAAAGACCTTTCAATCGAGGTATCTTTCGACCCCCCACTCCATTTAAAAAAATCTTCCAGGAGGATACATATTTTTTTTTGGAACAATATATAGCACTGAAACTACTATTGAAGCGAAAAAAAATTGAAAAAAAAATCCTATCCGTTCAATAGTTAACCAGGGGGGGGTGACTTTATGGACACAGTGTATATAGGCAAGAGAGGTATAATAATTTATAACCTACGCAGTTTCAATGGTTTTGTGGGTTTTTCTAGTCAGGAAATCATAGACTAGTACATATTTACAATCTTATGACTAAAAAAAATTATTATATATAGTGAATTTCTGAACTTTAGAGATTATCTATTTGTCTCAATGAATTTTGAAGATGTCTCCGTGACTCATGGAATAACCACAGATGGTTGATAGGTGTGTTTGAGAAGCCGTCATCAATTTTGGTTTTTTAAATGGTCGAAAACAGTTTCTTTAGTCCTAAAAAACTCTGATTCCAATAATTATCCAACGTTGCGAACCAAAAATCATCATCAGTGTTATTTGATGGTGGTTACAAGAAAACGACACGTCGAATCAAAAATCTGATGACAGCAACTTGTAGAAAAGGAAAAAATGGCATGGTCTTTCTCTTGTAGTAAAATAGAATACAAAGTTATTCTCGAAGTTTCTAATTCTAAGAAATGAAAGATTAGGAAATTCTGCCCACAACGACGTCGTCATGAACGTGAAGTATTATAACGTTAGGTATTGATCGAATGTGATTACCTTCTTTTCAATTATATATTTGAAGACCATAGCAAAAAAGGGCGAATGTCACAAAAAGTATAAGTTTCGAGAAAAACGCATTTGAAAGTTTAAATCCTCCCTGATTTTTGGAAGTTAGGGTAAACTAAAATCAAACCACCTGATTTCATTTGATTATACTCCATCAATAAAAATCATATTTGAATGACAAAATCATCGAAAACAAACAATAAGAGTCCAAAGATTCGAGGGAAAAATGGGGAATGTCCAAATAAATTGTCAAAAAACTGGATTATTTACTTGCAATTATCTGCTCTGGTACATTTCTCCATTCTCGCCTGACTACCTAATGAGCGGTAAGTTGTCATATATTATAGTACATCTAGCACACCTCTATAATTTGATCATTTTCTATAAATTCCATGCGATATAAGTAGGAATCATCATTTAGCAATCTCGCATTATTTTATTCCTATCACTCAGACGTACTCGACAAGCCCATCAGTCAGCACACCTTTTTGTCGTCAACCTCGAAATATGTCGAACAACTCTTTATCTAAACTCGTTTATACATAGAACGGTAACGCTTTGAAATTTTTTGCCTGACAGAGTATTCCCAATAAGATCTTATACCTAATCTCCAAAAGTTGAAAAAAGTCCCAATACCTATACCTCCTCTCCCTATCATCCCTATAGGTATACCCACGATGTTTCCCGAACATTATAGAGATTCCCTTTCGCACGCTCCAAGAGATGAAAAAAAAGTGACCGTATATTTTTTTTTCTCATCTTTTGTTTGCCTGAGAGTTCACTTAAACCTTTTGACAATCTGACAGTGTGAAAACAACCTATTAAATTCACAATGGAATATGTATTCAAGCAAGCGCTAAGCTTGGACGTTCCCTTTCTTCACATTTTTGAAGTGGACATTTCGCGTTTTTTCCATCTGAACGTATTTTCGAACGAACATATTAGCTGACTATGCTGCGTTATTATTGCTATGGACTTCTGTTTATACAGCGTACATAAATAAACACTAAAATATAGTGGTTATTGGTTATCAGATGGCGGATTCAAGTCAGTTTTCACTTTATTGTGACATTCCCCCTTTTTCCCCTGTGGTCTTCATTTATTTTCTCTGAGAATAAAAAACGTATCCTCTACACTGGCATCGCATCGCAGCCTACTAAAATCGATAAGGGCAAGATCTTTCGCCGTTGCCGCCGTCCTGTACCGAATTATGCAAACCCTTTGTTAATAGTTAATCAATGAACAATGTTGGCATTACCACATCGTCGTCCCTCCCCCACTACTATACAGGATGTCCCAGAATTTTCAAACTATAGCAGTTATCTGGGGTAAGTATACCTATATCTCACAGACAAGAAATTAAGATGATAATGAAGAAAATAACTGTGATATATATATGGGATCGATAGCTCTCCAAAATACATAATATAACTACATAGTGTGCTGTAACTTTCCGCCGATCCAACCAAAAACAATCCTATTGGAAAATCGTGGTTATTCAAAAACATTGCCTATTGTGTGAAATTTTCGAACAAGAAAACACTGATCATGTAGTTCATTTATTCGCCACATATATAACATTTACACACATTTTGAATTCGTAATGAAAAATAATTGTTGTCAACTGAAGCATCTCTGTAATTTGCAAAGTCAACAAACGAGCCTGTAGGAAATATAGCGGCCAGCTGTTTCCGACGAACGGATGATTTTGACCACCTGCAACAAGATAAGCACTAAAATGTACTTATTTCAGAAAAAAAAATGTGAAGACGTTTCATGGTCCAGTTGACAGGGTGAATAGCTGATGATTAATACCGAAATATAAACTAAAAACACAGATCAACATAAGATTTGTTAATCTGTGCTAAAAACTTCATGACATACCTACCTATCATCTATGCTATCAACTAACAAAATCTCATTATCTCAATCAATCATAAAATTCCATGACACTCTATTTGAATCTGGAAAAATGCATATGAAAAACCATATCTTATATCTTGAAAAAATATCTTATATATTTTTTCATGCAAACTACTTTCGAGTACCTAATCATTATTGATACCAAAATGTGCTTTACTTCCATAGAATATAAAAACTCACTTTAATTCCCGGAAAATGAGCAACGCTGCTTTTACTTTACCGCAGCTCTGGTACAAAATGTCATTGATTGAATTTGAATACGTTTTTTTCGATTGACTGAAATGATATTCTGCAACAGCAGAATATAAAAAAATTGTTGAGAGTTGAGAGCACTAGAGGAATTGAGAAAAAGGAAAAATAAATAACTTCATCAAAGCACATGCAGTTGATGCGGTGGTTGGTTCACAAGGTTTGTGCAAAGCAAATATAACTGTGAATAAGGAAACAAATAGTTACACCCGGCCGATTCCGTAAACAAGTGAACAAAAAAACCTCAGGTGTGCTGTTGGTTTCCACCTGGTACCTGATGGCCTGATGGTACTTGAATAAAGGTAGGTATATTACCTATCAGTTACCCGCATTTGTTTTTACACACACCCAGCATACCCAGCAACCCAGCAAAAGTTGCACCGTTTATAATTAGACTTCTTAATTCTAGAATCTGTTGATAGATTATTTGAAAAAAAAAGGTGATGAGATGACTGTATTTAGCAGAAATTGTTGTTTCCATAAATTTTTTAGTGGATTTTGTAAATTTGATCATTAGGGCTTCTGTATGATATTTTGAATAACAAGTCAACTTTTCTGATTATATGCCACTGAGGTGTCTGGAAATATTTCTTGGCCAAATGTATTGAAATGAAAAATATGATTTTCTTGTAAAAAATTGTGTGACAATGTCTTGGTTAAATATGACAAACTTGGTTTCCTGTTGATAAATAGAATCAAAAATCAAAAACATTTTTTTGCAATACTTGCTTTTTCTCCAGGTAATCAATCACCACAAAACAGCAAAAAAAAATACACAGCCTTGACCAATTTTGACTAATTTAATATATTTTAATATATAACAGTTCTCCACACATGAGCTGGAAATACAGACACTCAACACCCATATAAATATACCACTAACATCAATCATATCAACAGAGGGTTTAACAATCAACAAATACTAAGCACCTAACTCTTTATAGTCTGAGAGCCAGCAATCAGCAGACTTATGGTATGTTAGCAAACTCCATATTGACGAAAAGAAATATTCTCAGATAAATTATGAAGGTAAAAAAAATGGATATATATGTATATAAAGCAATACATTGAGAATTCACATTCTCTATGTGATGAGAATATCAACTCTTTTTCACTTTATTCAACAGAAAACTACTACTTTCCTGGCTATATGCCATATGCCATGACAAACATTGAATTATATCTTATTGATGATAGATAATACTATGGCTATATTCGGAATTTAACTGAAAGTACTGAATCTGCCGATATTTCATTCCAAAATCCAAAAAAATCACTGAAAGTGACAGATACTTGTTAGTAGACATACTATTCATTCCAAATATTGAGTCTCAACATTTTGCTGGAATTGATGACTAAAAAGGTAGTGTGGCTTCAGTAAACTGTGTCAATAATTTAGAGGGGAAGGAATGTCACATTTATTTTCATTGTTTCATCAATAATAAATTATTGATATCATTTTCAATATCAGAGAATGCCTGTTATTGAAATAATTGATGCTAAAAATAATATCTAGTTCAGATGAACCAGAAAGTTTACATAAGTGACAACCTGAAAACTGACAAAGTTCAGGAGTTGATCAACTGCTGCTCATTACTGATTGAAACTAGAGTCCCAGTATGTATCTGATAGTTTGACCAAACTAGTGAAGAAATCCAGTATTCTACTAACCTGTCCTCTCTTCAATCCAAAATATCTAGCAACAGGATCCCCAGCTTGTATTCTCATCAACATGTTCTCCTTCAATTTACTGTTTACAGGTCAAGGAAATATAAGGTACAAAGACAGTATTCTCAACTAAAATAAGGAATTGAGCAAAAAAATGTATTCTCATTATTGTCTAGGTCATGAGAATGTCTCTACAAAATGATTTGATGTTTTTGAAAGGATACTATCTAGCTAACAATTCTTGTTTTTCTTCTGGTGTCATCACTACATGTTCAGGGACTAATTCATGTTCAGTTATGTTTATCAACAATTCTGATTCTAGGAACTGCTCTAAAATATATTTTGGTGCCATGTCCACTAGAGATTGCTTGGCTGAAGGTGTCATACCTGCTTGTACGACAATGATTGCTCTGTGGATGTTTTCATCCTGCATACGAGAACAGTAGGTTTTGATTGTTTTTATACCAATTTTTGGTTCATCTGGAAAGAATACAAACATTTGATCTGTGGGGTCATCGTTATGTGCAACCAGAACGATGAGTTGACTTCGAGATGGTCGTTTTTCACTAGAAATAAAAGCAGAATATTGAATCAAAAGTATATGATATTAATACAGCAAACTTACCTTGGTTTGTCTCCAAACTGATCTTTGAATTGTTCTAAAGTCTGATCCAATTCATCCTGTGTTACTAGGTATCCTCTATCGTGACACAACTGAGGAAAAACCAAAAACTGGTTAACAAAATAAAATGTACCTACACATTAAAAAACTAGGTTAGGATTTACCTGCATCACTGTTTTACGAATTCTCCACAGTTTATAAGTTTCAGCTTCATCATCCATCTTTTGATATTAATTCAATGTACAATTTCAATCATATGCATTAAGATTTTGTCAAAATTTTAAAAAATTTTCGATCATACCATAATATTTTCAGATTTTAAAAACTGACAGAGTGACACTAGTGACAGAGAGTAGAGACAGAGCACAGTAGCACAGAGCGACAGGCAGAAGTCTGATCAGGAAAAAGTCACAGTACGTGACACTCGTGACAGTCTGACAGTACTACTAGTAGTACTAGTACAGCACTAGTACCACAAACACCACAAAAAATTTACCGATTAAACGAACTTACCTGTGAAGTTCAATCGTAATTATATTAGGCGCCTCGTCCAAAGAGATCACTAAGGTAGTATCGCTTTGCGCGCTAGTTACCACAAGTTTATAGATAATAAAAAGAGAAGAAGAGTACATGGCTATGCCCTTTGCTACCTTGACGTTCCTAATATCATGTCATTTAGTTTAAAGTGGGGGAAAACACTCAGCGGGTTATTCAATTTATCTGGGTGAGGTGGGTGTGATCTCTTTGGACGAGGCGCCTAATATAATTACGATTGAACTTCACAGGTAAGTTCGTTTAATCGGTAAATTATATGACGGCGCCTCGTCCTTCGAGATCACTAAGGTAGTTGTTCAAAGGATCTGTGTTTTCCCCAGGAATAGCAGTCTCTCCCCTATATATATATATATATAGTCTCCAATGATTCTGGTAAACTCACTATCAAATTATGTGTATTATTGTTTTGAACAAGAAGTAATAATACATCAATACATAGTATCTGCAGAACGTATAAATCTTACAACATTTAAGTAAAAACTGCTTTGGCAAAAGCTGATGGGTCCTTGAGGGGCTGTTTGTAAAACTTAGCAAACATCTCTGATTTCTTGGACCATCCGGCTGTTCTCCTGATAACATCAAGGGTAATGCCGTTTCTGTTAGCTGCCGATGTAGCAGCATGTCGGGTAGAGTACCCTGAAAAAATGGCTGTATTTATTCCCGCTTTCGAGAGGGATTGCTTGATCCATCTGCTAATGGTGCTGGTTGTGGCTGTCTGATAAGGGTTGCGAGAACTCAGGAATAAAAATTCTTGTTCTTGTCCCCTAATACTCGCTGTCTTCTCAATGTACATAATAAGGGCTGATGCTGCGCACACTTCTGGTCTCTCTCGGAAGAAAGGGATATGTAGACAGGGTTGTTCCTTATCATTTCTTGTTGTCTTTAGCTGGTCAGTTATGAATATTTGGATCTCTTCTCTGGAAATGATTATATTTTGTACACGAATTCTTGCTAGGGTCTGAATTCTGTGGGCAGTGATCAATGCTAGTAAAGTAGCTGTTTTTCTTGACAGTTCTGTTAGTGACAGTTCCTCGTTTGGTGGACTCTGTCTGAACCAAGACAGAACTGTTTCAGGTTCCCAAACGAAATTATATTTCCTCTGAGGCGGTCTAAGTCTGAATATGCCCTTCAGAAATCGCTTTATGTTTGGACTATTACTGATATTTTCTTTTAGTATCAGGGCAAGGGCTGAGCGATAAGAATTGAAGGAATTATAACGGAATTTCTTCTTTTCTAACTGAACTTCCAGGAATTTGATAACTTGAGCTTCCCCAGCGTTGTATAAGTTTATTTGTTTGTCTTGGCAGAAACTCCACCATGCTTTATAAACCACCTCATACTGTTTTAGGGTTGAGGAGGATATAGATTCCATCAGCACTGGGATGGTGCTTTGGGCATTTCCTTTTCTTGAGAATGCTTCCCCGATAATAAACCTACCACCAGGAAAAGGTTCTCTTTGTGCAGGTTGTTGGACCTGAAAGGAATATGAAGATGCTCATTAGCTTGTAATATGAGTGGAGGCTTGACTAGAAGTTGGTTAAAAAGAGGAAACCATGGTTGAGTTTCCCATTTGGGGACAATGAGGATTCCCTCTGCTTTATCTAGAATTATTTTGTTCAGGGTGCGGAGGATTAGACAAAATGGAGGAAACGCATAGAAAAAGTTGTATTTCCAGTCAATGGTGAATGCATCTACCGCTATTGACCCTGGATCAGGAAACCAAGAAATATACATCTCACACTTTGCATTATTACTGGAAGCAAATAGGTCGATCTCTGGTTGTCCCAGCCTGTGAGAAATTAAGTTAAAACTGGATGACTTGAGTTCGTATTCAGTCTCTGTTGGAAGAATTCTAGACTGCCTATCAGCAACTGAGTTGTCTGCGGACGATACATATGATGCCTGAATCCAGACGTCCCTCTCCTCGCACCATTGCCAAATTTCCTTGGCCAAGTTTGATAGTTTTGGGTAGAGAACACTACCCATACGATTAATGTAGGCTATTGCTGTAGTGTTGTCAATCCTTAGGAGTATACTAACCGACTGACAGTCACGGGCAAAACATTTTAGTGCCAGGAATGAGCTAAGCAGTTCAAGGTAGTTGATGTGGGATTTTTGCTCTGTCTCTGACCACCAGCCATGGGTCTCCACTCCGTCACATACAGCCCCCCACCCTGACAAAGATGAGTCTGAGAAGATTTCCATGAAATATTTGTCCTGCCTTATAACGTTAACAGAGTAGGGGACCCTTTCTTTCCACCACAATAGGTCCTCCCTGAGGTTCCTTCCAATTATCATGGTAGCATTGAAATTGTGACTAGTTTTACGAAGGGCCTGTACTTTTTCTCTTTCAAAGGTCTTTGTGTACAGCCAGCCATATTTTATGGCTGGACAAGCAGAGACCAAGAGTCCAATGAATTTGGCAAAAAATCTTATGGTACAGGAACTTTTTTGTAGGATGTCATCAATAATGGCTGTCAGCTTCTGACGTTTCTCGTCTGGTAGACTTATAGTCATGTTATCAGTGTTGAATATAAAGCCCAAAAACTTACAGGTTCTGGAAGGTATTAAAATGCTCTTTTCATAGTTCACTACAAACCCAAGTGACTCTAGGAGACTGATAGTCATTTGTGTTTGAATTTTACACTTTGAGAAGTCTTCATGAATTATCAGAAAATCATCTAAGTAAAGTACACAGGTTATACCATTCCTTCGCATCCAAGCCAGAACTGGCTTTGTTAGCTTGGTAAACGTATAGGGTGCAGATGAAAGTCCAAATGGTAGACATGTGAATTCATAAAAGATTGAATTGAAATGGAATCGAAGATATTTTTTATGGTCCTCATGTATGGGGAGAGTGTAGTAGGCATCTTTCAAATCTATTGAAGTCATGAAGTAGCCTTTATGCAAAAGTTTTGCTGCCGTCCTATAATCCTCCATTTTGAAGTGGAGTGGTCTCAGGAAGGTGTTGAGTTGTTTTAGGTTCAAAATGAACCTGGCTTTCTTATTTGGCTTGCTAGTCAAAAAGAAAGGAGATAGGAACTGATGCCCTGTTGGCTCAACCTGTGAGATAACACCCTGTTTTAGAAGGTTATTGATGTTTTCTAGAACTGACCCATGGGCTACCAAGGAAAGGGGTCTTGTGTTGACAGCAGTGTGCTGTCTAGGAGGGAGCTGTTGAAATGGTAGGGAATAACCCCTGACCCAATTCAAGATAACTTCATTAGTGGTTATCTTCTCCCAATTTTTATAGAAATATCTGAGCCTGCCTGGCAGACCTACCTCTAGTATCTTCTGTATCTGTTGCTGTTCCTCCCCTCCTTCCTTTTCTGTGGCTGATGAGGTTGTTGCCCTCTTGATCTCGATTCCCTCACAAATCGAGTTGGGCCCTGCCGGTTTAAAGGCCTCATTGGTGGCCTTGGATCTGATACAGCAGGAGCTCTGAAGCGATTGGTCACATTTGGTGGCATCTTGGGCTTTAAATCCTGGCTAGATTTTTCAACGACCTTGGCGTTTTTGTATTTTTCACCAAAATCTTTCCCAAGAAGGTACTGATCGATATTATTGCTGAAGGCTATGTCCTTTGCTGCTTTAGATAGGACCTGGCTCAGGTTAGCACGTCTGTCTAGAGAGGTGATATAGTGAGCATTGGAAAATAGTCGTCCTGCATCTCCAAGGAACTTCAGCAGTTCTGTTCTTAGTGGAGAACTTGGCTCATTCAAAATTATATTCAGAGCTGAGCCTAATGCTGTTAGCCCAGCTCCAAGGTTTTTCTGTGTTGCTGTCATTCTTTGTTCTCTCTTCTTGATCGTCTCATTCATTAGGGGTACTATTTCCTCGTTGAGTGCTGGTACTCCTAAGGTAGAGCAATTAATAGGGGGAGGGTATTTCTCCAGTATTTCTGAGCTTGTACTTTTCTCTAGACCGTTAGTCACTATGTGGCTCCACCTGGTGGTTACTGCCTCATGCAGTTGGATACCATCTGTTTGTTTTGCTAAAGGATCTTCCCCTAGGAAGCCTAGTGTTTCCGAATCTAACTCAGGCATAGTGGGTTCAGGTCTTGGTTCAGATGTTTCTTGGGGTGCCTGACTCCTTTGCTGGGGGCTAAGGTTACGTGCCCTATTTGTAGGAGCTGGACTGTGTGATTGGTCCCTTTTATCTGTTCTGGGGGACTCTGCCATGCTACCTGCTCTGGAGGACTCAACAGAACTGCGTGCTCTGGAGGACCTGATATATGCTGAGGAAGAATCCCAAGAACTACTTGCTCTAGAGGGCTCAACAGAACTACGTGTTCCAGGGAGCACAACTGGACTGGGTGCCCTAGCAGGTTGGACGGAGCTACTGGCTCTGGAGGGCTCAACAGAACTACATGTTCTGGAGGGCCCAACTGGACTGGGTGGCCTAGCAGCTTGGACAGAGCTACATGCTCTGGAGGGCTGAACGGAGCTACATGCTCCGTGAGCCCCTACTGCTTCCCTATGTCTGGATCTTGATCTGGAGTTGCTTGGTCTAGCATGATCTATGGAGCTGCGTGCCCCATGAGAGCCCTCCGATTCTGTTCTTCTGGTATATCTCTCTTCCGATGAATGCTGTCGATGATCATTGGGGTGGCGTCTCCCTGTTTTGGAAAGTTCTTTCTCGAGTTTTCTGATTCTCATCTCTAACTTTGATGAGTGAGAATCGGATCTGGATCTGGAACGTTTTCTCTTCTTGTTTTTTCCCATATTCTTTTTTCTTATTTTTGGCTGAAATTTAGGAAATGAAAAAATTAGGTGTGGCTTCTAGACGCACAAAAAACGGAATGACATGATATTAGGAACGTCAAGGTAGCAAAGGGCATAGCCATGTACTCTTCTTCTCTTTTTATTATCTATAAACTTGTGGTAACTAGCGCGCAAAGCGATACTACCTTAGTGATCTCGAAGGACGAGGCGCCGTCATATAATAACAAGCGTCTAACCAGAGATTAGTCAACCAGGTTGACTAATCTCTGGTCTAGCTTAGCTAGAGACCAGCGAATCATTCAAACCCCTTATTAATGTCATACAGCACCAATCACAGAGCCACAGACCACCAGACAGGTTACAGCTTTGGTTACAGGTTGCGTTGCCATAGAAATAAATGTCAAATCACAAAATTTCTGACATCAGAGTCCTAGAGAGGAAAGTTCCCTCCTCTTCAATCTTTCTCTTCAATGATACCAACATTGAAATATAGAGAGGTTCGATAAATCTGTCCTTATCTAACGTCTAGTTTGTGCCACTGAACTATTTTTAGATTTAGCAGAGTCAAATTTAACGATATTAACAAGTGATGTCAAAATGAGTATGATATAATTCAAAATTTCATTCAAAAAATTCTAAAGGTTATCAGTCAATGACATTACAACAACGAAAATAGTTCAGTGGCCCAGAGTAGATGTTAGACAAGGAAAGATTTATCGGACCTCTATATTTCAAGTGGTAGCACTGAAGAGTCAGTGGCATAGACAAGGAAAAATTTATCAGATCTCTCTATATTTCAATGCGGCCAAGTTGGTAACATTGAAGAGAAAGATAAAGTTCAAAGTCCTTGTGTAACTGACGTAACTGTGGCAATGTAGAGTAGAAATTCAGTCCAGAATCTAGCCAAGAAATATCCTATCCAAAATTTCATTTTATTGGGAAATCGGGTCGCCTACATAAAGTAAAAATTGAACTCCAATTTTATTAAAGAAAATAATTCAATGTTTTTTTATTAAGAATAAAACAATACTCAGACCTTAGAAAGATTTATTCAATTATTCTTCTGGCACTTCAAGAGAACCATCTTTAACTTCATCTATTAGGTCATGTGCATTTTTACCATCAATGGTACAACCTACTGATTGGGCAGTTCCTAAGACTTCCTTTACAGTCCCAGATAAGTTCTTGGCCATTGATCTAGGCCTCATCTGTCTAGCAATACTCAGAATATCATCAAAAGAAATGTTTCCATTGTGTTTAACTGAAAAATGGTAAGTTAATATTCCATGAATGATATATATATATTAGGTAGTATTGCACTTATCATGGAATGGTTTTTTTCTGAATTTTTTTTTTCGTACTTATTTATTTTTCTCTGAAAAACATGAATTTGATAATGAAAATGTGAACAAACCATTATTTGTTGAGATATTTCACTATAAAGTTACAAATTCCACCTTTTTTTTCGCCTGTTTTTGGATTGCATTAAGAACAATTTGGCCTTCTTTTCCCATCATTGGACAATTTACATATATCACACAATGTTGGACACATTTTTTTCATCATATGAGTCAACTAGAAATATGATTTTCTTGTGATTTATTCATGATACAATTTAGTGAAAAGAAGGAAGAATATCATTTGAAATAATGGCATGTGTAATGTCATTCCATAGCAATCTATTGACATTTGACATCTCATATTTGAATTGCCTATGGATTAATTGGCCACCATCTGGTATGCTTGCTCACTAAATAATAAAAACTCACCATAAAAATCATATTTCCTGTTGAATTTTCTAGCTTAAAATGTGTCATTGAAGTACATGATGAGTATATAAAGTGTCCAATGACAAAATAAAAAGAGCAAGTACCTGTAAATGCATCCAACACAAGGGGGGAAAAAAGGCAAAATTTTGAACTTTTCCTTGAAATATCTTGATAAATAGTGGTTTGTTCACATTTTCATTATCAAATTCGTGTTTTTCAGACAAAAATATGTTATTACCAAAAAAATTTCGAAAAAAAACCCATCCCATGAAAAGTGCAAAATTACCATAATATATTATACTGACTGTTTTTCTGCTTCTTCCTATCACGTGGAGGTTCTTTGAGTGCCTTTATAATGAGGGAAGCAGCTGAAGGTACAACAGAAATTGTTGCTTGACGGTTCTGAATTTTTAGTTGAACTGTTATTTTCAACCCTTTCCAATCAGCAGTGCCTTTGGCAATGTCATCACCAACTTTCTTGGGGGACTGAAATGATATAAATATTTATATTGATAGCAATCTTATTTTCGCAATTCATTATTTACCAAACCCAGAGGACCAATTTTGGGGGCCAAAGAGGAAGTAGCTCCTACTTCTCCTCCAACACATCTCAAATAAACTAGCAAAACAAACTGAAGTTAGGTTATGTGCTTATAAAATATTAATATCAAGTGCTTACCATATTTTACCTCGGAGGGATCGAATTTTGGCGGCATTTTGATGAGATATAGGGTCTGATACTAACGAAATAAATGAGTTATTTTACGATGATCGAAGATTAAACTTCCTTGAGAAAATACTTCTTGATTCTCATTTAAAAAGTTCATGAAATGAAAGAGGAAAGAGACAGAAAACTCAGAAAAGAGATAGAGAGATAGGAATGATAGGATTGACTTGAATTGACAGAAATGACAAGTGACTGAGACAGGTCGCTAAATCACCACAGAATTAAACATGGGTGCGTTTTTATTCCAACATAATAGGCCTGTTCGTTTGTATTGCTAAACTGGCTAAAGTTGATCTTTTTCCCGAACAGGCCTTTTGTACGAAAGCGTAAAAGCGCCACATGATATATTTTTTTAATAATTGACAGATATAACTGTCAACTAGCCTAATTGACAGATACTAAGTCGTAAGTAGTATACTTGACAGATACTAAGTCGTAAGTAGCATACTTGACAGATACTAAGTGGTAAGTAGTATACTTGACAGATACTAAGTCGTAAGTAGCATACTTGACAGATACTAAGTGGTAAGTAGTATACTTGACAGATACTAAGTCGTAAGTAGCATACTTGACAGATACTAAGTGGTAAGTAGTATACTTGACAGATACTAAGTCGTAAGTAGCATACTTGACAGATACTAAGTGGTAAGTAGTATACTTGACAGATACTAAGTCGTAAGTAGCATACTTGACAGATACTAAGTGGTAAGTAGTATACTTGACATATAGGCCAAGAAACTCGCCATCGCCAAGAAACAAAGAAGATTGAGAAGAAGAAGAAAGAAGAATACAATAGGTCGCGTGCAAGAACTGTCAGATGACCGACCCTGGAGGCAAAACATATTTGTTTACAAGTGATCCAAATAGTTTTCCACAATTATTTTGGCATATGAATCGTATTTTTCCGCTATTCATCAATTCGCTAATGCCATCACATTGTGCTGTTGTAAAATGCACAAAAACTGCAGCGGAAGATAAAGAAATCCGGATGGAACATTATGATTCAAAAGTAAGTACCTACTATATAGTCACTCACATAGTTTTCATTTTTGAAATTTGGTTATTTCTCTGATTTCTCATCAGAATTCCTTCTGCAATAGGATCAGCTAATAGAAATATACCTGAAATTTCTAGAATAATGCAAGAAGATTGGATTCATGCAATCAATCGGTAGGACTGGTCTGACATGCTGACGATCGTGTGTGTTGTAGACATTTTCAATCTATTAGCAGCATTAGCTTGTATTGCATAAGTGGCAGAAGGCAGAAGGAATTTTAATAAGGAATGACAACATTTCATAATGCTAACTATGTGAGATTACTATTTACCTGAAAAATCATATTCCCTAGTCTCTTGCTGCATTTTTTGTGCATTGTACAACAGCACAATGCGAAGGCATGCTTGAATTAATGAATAACGCAAGAAACACGATTCGTATGCCAAAATATTGTGAAAAACTATTTCAACCTTTTGATTCCTCTGTAACCAAATAAAAAAGTGAGGTTGTGTTTCAATAATTCACAGAAGAATGAGGTTGTGTTTCAATATTTTGCCTCCAGGGTCGGTCTTCGTGCACGCGACCTATGCCGACATAACCCTAACCAACAACAATGGATTAGGGAAACAAGATAGGTTGAAAATCACTTCGGATTCAGGACGTCCGATTTACTAACTATTCATATTTCTCCTGGAAAATGTTCAGTTATGAAAAATTGAATTTTGTCTCACTTTCCATGGAAGCACTCCCGTATCTTATGTAAAAATATTGAGGTATGATCCTAACATTTTGCAGGAGAAAGATGCAGTCAACGATCAACTTGAGATTATAATCAGTGATCTACAACTGCTAGCCAGCAGCAAATAGAACTACCCACATGGCTGCTGGCGAGTAGTGTATATCACTGATGATAATTTTAGTTGATCATTAGCTGTATATTTGAACTCTTCCTTCCTCCTGCAAATTCCAGAATCCTACCTCTATAATTAACGTAATATATAAATAGTTAGAAATTAAACGTCCTGATTTCGAATCCGAAGTGATTTACAACATCTCGCCTCCTAATATCATTTTCCAGGAATGTGAGTGGTTCCATGGTTGTTGGCGAGCAGTGTAAATCACTGAAGATGACCACACTTGGTCATAGAGTGAATTTTTGGTATATTTCTCGCTCCTGCAAATTTCAGGATCCTTACTCAACAATTACATATGAACAGGTGTGCTTCCATTAGAAGTAATGTACATATTATATATGGTGCTTCTCGGCTTCCAGTGAAGTTATTAGTTTTATTGTCATTATAACAAATGGGGACAAGTAATAAATGTTTCTTTTGGTTGACAGCCATACTGCCGAAAATGGGAAAAAAGTTGGCAAACCCATTTTTATTTTCGAGTATAGGTAGCCTTCATAAAGCTGTTATTTTTTGTTTTATTGAATGAGTGTGCTTATTGTTGAGTTTTCTTTGTTACAAGTAAGACAGTGGCAGAAGTGAAGTCAACACCAGTAGGGTCAAGTAGGTGGAGCAGCACAAGAAAAATTTCCTGAGTGACCAGTGATTCATGCTGAATACATCTCAAATGCATCCATCTATATCCGTGCACTTGTCCATGGGTTTTTATATTTTGTTGAATGAAATCTGCCACTTCAGCTATATCTGTGTAATTTCTTCTTCTAAACAAGTTCATTTTAAGTAACTGTTTGAAGTGTACGTCGACTGATATGAATATTGTGATTTAACGCTAGACAGTTCAAAATTTCAGATTTTGGTGGAATCCTAAATGGAAGTAGACATTAATTTGAATCCACCTTAAGTGGAACTAAAGATCTTCACATTTCAATCTTCACCAAGGCGTTGAATGTTGAATCCATTGTTGGTTAGGGTTATGCCAGCATTGTATTCTTCTTCTTCTTAATCTTCTTTGTTTCTTGGCGATGGCGAGTTTCTTGGCCTATCTGTCAAGTATACTACTTACCACTTTATCTGTCAAGTATGCTACTTACGACTTAGTATCTGTCAAGTATACTACTTACTACTTAGTATCTATCAAGTATGCTACTTACCACTTAGTATCTGTCAAGTATGCTACTTACGACTTAGTATCTGTCAAGTATACTACTTACCACTTAGTATCTGTCAAGTATGCTACTTACGACTTAGTATCTGTCAAGTATACTACTTACCACTTAGTTTCTGTCAAGTATGCTACTTACGACTTAGTATCTGTCAAGTATACTACTTACCACTTAGTATCTGTCAAGTATGCTACTTACGACTTAGTATCTGTCAAGTATACTACTTACGACTTATTATCTGTCAATTAGACTAGTTGACAGTTATATCTGTCAATTATTAAAATAAATATATCATGTGGCGCTTCTACGCTTTCGTACTTTTGTCACTTTTGACAAAAAGCGCACTTTCTTATTAGGGGATGAGGATGAAAAACCGAAACACGCCTCTTGACTGTCTTCTTCTTCTTCTTCTTCTTATTTCCCGTGAGGACATCCAGCCATGTTAAGTTTCGAAATTCCTCTTGTTTTTTAAGAATGCACCAGTAGTGCATCTGGGTTCTAGCTCATGCACTTCAAATGTTGGGTCGACTGGAATTCTGTGTTCTCATCTCGAACAAACGACAAAAGGCCGACATTAACGAAATTATATTTCGGCATCTCGTCCTCGAGATCACTTGTTTTAGCTAGGTAGTACCACTCTTAGGTACGGTTGATGCCACAATGTATTAAGTAAGAAGAAGAGTTTTTATCATACAGCACCCTTCCTTACCGACTGGACCGTGTACGACTGACCCCGACTGACCGACTGTCTGTGACAAAGATGATAGGTGACAAGTTCATGTTGACTTTTTACTGATATATTATTTATTTTTTTTGATTGGCTGATAATTTTTTGTTTTTATTACTGAATTAGTTCAAGTTTAGAACTCAGAGACACAAGTTTAGAAGACTATAAGTTACAAAGTTATTCTGTGCCCTATGGTAAAGATCTCGGACAAAAGATGCGGAACTTGGGATGAATCATGTATCAAATTGCATTGTTTGCAACAAAATCCTCAACAAATTCAACTAGTCAAAGCTGTGCCTGAAACAAAAGATCTACACACAATTATCAGTGATGCAAGTGCAATTTTCTCATCCTACAGTGCTCCAGTTTGCACAATACTTTCAGAATAATTATGACCATCCTATATCAGACAAAAATGTGTGATTCTGATAGAGATGACATTGATAGAATACCTTCCAAAGATAGAGTAACAAACTGGGATATAGCTGGATTCATTTTCTCTATCATCAGCCACATAGCTGATGTCTTCTTTGATTGTAATGTTGCATACAGATACTATATTGCTGATCAGTTACATTATTTCATAATCACTATGGGTTTCATAATCATTCCTGCAATTATAAACACAGCATTCAGTGTGAGAATGTATGTTTTGGACCATGATAATGTCAACCGCAGTACAACACTTACAAAAAGGTTTACCAAGAGAAGACTGTGCTGTATAGTAGTCCTACTATTCCAATTAGCTCCTATTCTGAGATACTTTGATGCCTTGCAGTATGCCTTGAAATCGAAGAAGGCTGAGAAAAAAAAAGATGTGGAAAATCAAAGAAAATATTATGAGTTGATGGTAAAGGAAGATTCAGATGTGGCTTTATTGAGAGTTTTGGAGTGTTTTTTGGAAGCTGCACCACAACTTATACTACAGCTCTCTATTATTTTTTATACTCATGGAAAAGACATGCAAAACAATACTTTTACATGTGAGTGAATAAGTATTACAGTAGGTAAAAGGAGCATAATTATATTTAATTCTAAGCAGTGGATCTATTAGACTTTGATTCAATGTTCCTAACATGATTTCTCCTTCTTTCAGTGATCCATCAATTTCTTTCTATTGGTAGTTCCTTTGTGAGCATGGCATGGTCAATGGCTTCATATCAAAGACTGCTCAGGGTAGCTTTGAAAACAAAGAACAATATTTCTTGGGCTGGAACCATTGTGCAGTTCATGTGGCATTTTTTAGTCACAGGTAAGACCAAAAATCATTTTGCATGTAACTGTGACTCTAGGCAAACAAGATCTTTGAATCTAGTGCTTTGAGAACCTGAAAGTTGAATATGGAAATTATGAAAGCACATCTGCTCATAAATCTGGGAGGTGTCTAAAAAATAGGCAGTAGGATTTGATTGAGTCTGAAACAAGATGCACTCCATTCCATAACTTTTTTTTTGTTTACATATCTCATCAAACATATTGAATTGAGTTCAATAGTTTGTTTTTATACATAATGAATGAGAAGTGGATCCCAAAATTCAAAATAGTATCTACCTCTGTATCTACTACCAAAATGTTTTTATATGTATGTATAGTCAAAGGTCTCCTTCAATATGTTTCTGAAAAAGATGGTATCTATCTTCATATTATCAATCTTTGCTTATCTTAAAAATAAACATTTCATTTCTATGATGAGTTCAGGAGTTCATAGTCAATGTCATTTTTTGTTTGATACAAACAACATAAATATTTTATGTTTATATTTAATCAGTTCCCAAAGTTCAACAAACATGAATTGACAAAATTAAGTCTACATGAGTATGAGTATTTTTATTCAACAAGAGCCATGAACACAATCAATATTCTGTTTTATCTGTTTTGAAGAAACATATTATGAGGTCTGATAGCACAAATTCACTAGCAAATTCACTAATCATTTTATCATTATTTGTGTGTTCCCATTCCCAAACAGAAAATATAATTTTTTGCAATAATTTCAAGATATTTTGAAAAAAAAATCACCTGGGTCATTGAACTTTCAATAATTTCTTTGGAATTCTCTTGGATTATCTATGGTGTACACCTAATGTTTTATTATTCTGTTGCATTTCAAGAGTTTGATCTGCAATGTCATGAAAATTGCTGATTGCTGATACTGTTCATTTTATAAAATTATAGAGTATGATACATGAATTTGAATCAGAATCATGGGAGGAATTCAATAATGTTGTAAAATACAGGGTGTTCCATTGAAAATTGAAAATATCAACATTCGACTTTGCGGTTATGTATATTACTAGAGAACCACTAAATTCGCAATTTTTTTAAAATTTAATCACAGAATTAGACTGACAGAAGTGACATCAGATATTTGATTACCTCAAAAAAATGATAAAGATGCCTACAACGCAGGTGCCCCTACTGTTGAAAACTTAAAATTTCATGTTGATAATTTTCAGATTTCAAAATAATGTATTATATTCTCAATATTGATTCGTCCTTTCTTCTGTCACGCAGAGAACACAACCTGGAGCTAAAATCTACTACTTCTTTCCCTTGTATAATAAATTACTATAACACCTACCTTTTTTTCCTATCTCCTGGGTACGCACAATGTTCTTGGAACATTATAGGAATTTCCTTTCATGAGCTCCAAGAGATTAAGAATAGTGAATCAGGGTGTAGGTATATGAGGCACGGTCTTTTTTCCGAAAATAGTTATTTATTATACAAGGGAAGAAAGTAGTAGATTTTAGCTCCAGGTTGTGTTGTCCCCCGATCCGGGAAAAAGTACTCACTTTTTTCCTACGGGAAAAAAGTAATTTACGAGTAATTTATGAAAAGTGACATTTTACAACCTGCCAACAGAGATGAAATGCCAAACTTTTTTCCCGTCACAGAAAAAATGATTTTTTTGACCGTGTCTGATTTTCCTATAATTTATGTGATTATAAATATCGATATATCGATAAGTATCGATATATCGATAAGTATCGATATATCGATAAATATCGATAAATACGATAAATATCGGTATATCGATAACTATTGATAACCATCGATATATCATCGATAACTATCAATTTTGTCTCAAGATATCGGTAAAAATAAACTCATTTTAATTGTGTGGCTCTTAGAAGCTTTCGTGATATCCAGACAAAAGTTATAATGACGTACAGCAACACAATTTCGTGAACAATAAAACGTTGGAACTATCTCGAGTATTCAGAACATTGTGATTGTGTTGGGAAAAAATTTATAGTTATCGATATATCGATAACTCATAATCCTTATTGATCGATATATCAATGGTTATCAATATACCAATATTTCGATAAATCGATAGTTATCGATATATCGCTTTTGGTTACCCCTAGTTCCAATCAATGAATTTTTTAGATTACTTTGTCTTATTAATACTTTGTCAGTCCTACCCCCATATTATGACGTTTTTACGAACTTTGTCGGCTTATATCTCAGAAACTATACATGCATACAAGACTTTTTAAACACATTTTTCTAATGAGCCATCCCACAACAACATAGTAAAATTTCAGCCAATTCTTTGGTAATGCAAAGCAAAACAAATTCAATGTTTCAATGCACTTGCTGCTGGCCTATATTTTATTTACTTGTAGTCAGTTTTTGGGACAATCAATTTATTCCTTTTTATATTTCAAAGTAACTGAATCTGGCAATAAACAAGAATTAAATAAAAATAAGCTCTGCCTACTTGTGTCAACATTTCTGGTGTGAAGAGAATGACATAATAAATAAGTTATTGGAAGTAATAGAACAACTTTCGAATTGTGTACAATAAGTTGAATTCCTCAGTAAGTATTGAATATTTTGGCGAAGTACTTTTATAACCTCTCGGAATCAGCCCACTACCAGTCCCTTCATTATTTTTATTCTTTTTCCCTACACGTGCCTTTCCACTCATGATCCTATAATTAATGATTTTCTTGAATTCATTATTTCTTTCCTACTCAATACTAATGTATGACTCCCTCTTCATGATAAATCGACTTCCACCTCCATTGACTCCACATGTCCATTCCTCCATGATCCATTTGATTCTCTCATGTACCCTCTAAACGAATATCATTCTATATTCTATGATTTTTTTAGTAACGAGGATCCATTGCATAAGCGCCATCGCTTGGAAATTCCCGATGGAGACCGGCATGGTCCTCATATGCCACTGGTTCATGATGATCATCTGGCTGGCTTCTGCCTCCAGTGTCTTCTTATGTCCATTCCTCCACAATCCATTTGATTCTCTCCTGTACCCTCTAAACGAATATCATTTTATATTCTATGTTTTGTTTTTCAGTATCCAGGATCCTTTGCATAAGCGCCATCGCTTGGAAATTCCCGATGGAGACCGTCATGGTCCTCATATGCCACTGGTTCGTGATGACCATCTGGCTGGCCAGCACCTCAGCCAAAAACAACTTTTGCGATCACAACAGCCTCTACGATTTCCTCTTCTATTGCATCCTCGGCGCCGTCTACATCTTCACGCATGTGATTTTAGTCGAGGGGCCGACTTGCTGCAAATATCTGATATTTTATAGCGTCCTCTTTGCCGAGAATACGGTGGCGAATATAGTGTGGTCTGTGACAGCAGACGACGCGTTGAGAAAGATGGTCTACTATTAGTACGGTGTAATTAGACCTAAACCTCAACATCCAAAGTAAAAGTTTTCCTTCAACACCAAATTGCTCTACATAGTCCCCTTATTCTATGGTAAAAAGTTACACCATTTTGAGCGTCGGGTTTGGGGGTGAAGGGGGGGTGAATTTGAAAAATCACTAGTTTTTTTAGTTTTTCGTAAATATTTCAAAAACTAAGCGGTTTATACTGAACATTGTTATATACAAAAATGTTCTACGTTAAATTTTAAATAAGAATGGTTCTTTTCATAATCACTCTAAATTGTACGGTTCAAGAGTTACAGACGGTGTAAATGTTAACTTTTTCGTGATTTTGATATTTTTTTTTTAAATAAGCTTCGTAAAAGAATGTTGCTATTTCAGTGGCCAGTGGTATGTTAGTGATAAGCCCTTGAAGGAACGACAACCTCACCACCTTATCAAGGGCACTCTTTTTTATGTGAAAACAGGCTTCTACAGGCCTAGGCCATATAAACCTGTGGAACGGAGAAACCCACCCTGAACTTTCTACGAACATTGCAACATAAATTCACTTCTTAAGCATAAATATCTTTCAAATTTGGAATGTTCAATGTCTTTATTAACTTCACTCATCCTCCAGCGCATTATCCTCCTCCTCTAGCTCGTCGTCTAAGATGTTATTATTGTCCATGTTATCACATGCTTGGCCTGAGCAATTGCTGCATATGCTAGTGCAGTTTATACCACTCCTTCTGCATTCACAATTACGAACGCATTCATCTTTGCAAGTACACATTATAAGGGACAGTAATTCCTGGGGGGCTGCAGGACGTGCTGTTGTAATTGGTGTCAGGTGGTCGCCAATCTTCTTCCAACCCCACTTGAGTGGATCCTTATCTTCATTCAGCCACTGTTGTACCTGGTGGTAGGTCCTAAATGAATGCTGTCTGGACGCTCCTGAAGTGGGGGGTAGTGCATCCAACTTCACTAATGCATGTATAGGCTGCTTTGCAATCGCAAACGTGTGTTATTGGTGATGGCACGGACTTATTAGTACTGTTGACTGTCCACGCACCTTCAGGGAATAAACTGAAAATGGTCGTACCTGAAAAGGGAAATCACCAGGAAAAAGTGTACATTATTTCTGACATTCAGCAAGGCATTGGGAATATGAAAGATGTACTCCTGGTTACCTACGCCTTCACAGGATGTGACACTGTGTCTTCTGTCTATAAGAAGGGAAAAATTGCACCTTATAGGAAAGTTCAAGCCAACAACGTTCTCTGTGAAAAACTTCTGGTCTTCAACAACCCCAAAGCCGACCCCAGTGCAGTGGCTGATGCAGGAAATTACTTCCTACTTGCAATGTTTGGAGCCAAGAACACTGAAGATCTAGATTGTCTCCGCTACCAGTCCTACTTGAAAGCGATTGCAAAGCAGCCTATACATGCATTACTGAAGTTGGATGCACTACCCCCCACTTCAGGAGCGTCCAGACAGCATTCATTTAGGACCTACCACCAGGTACAACAGTGGCTGAATGAAGATAAGGATCCACTCGAGTGGGGTTGGAAGAAGATTGGCGACCACCTGACACCAATTACAACAGCACGTCCTGCAGACCCCAGGAATTACTGTCCCTTATAATGTGTACTTGCAAAGATGAATGCGTTCGTAATTGTGAATGCAGAAGGAGTGGTCTGAACTGCACTAGCATATGCAGCAATTGCTCAGGCCAAGCATGTGATAACATGGACAATAATAACATCTTAGACGACGAGCTAGAGGAGGAGGATAATGCGCTGGAGGATGAGTGAAGTTAATAAAGACATTGAACATTATTCCAAATTTGAAAGATATTTATGCTTAAGAAGTGAATTTAAGTTGCAATGTTCGTAGAAAGTTCAGGGTGGGTTTCTCCGTACCACAGGTTTATATGGCCTAGGCCTGTGGAAGCCTCTTTTCCCTTAAAAAAGAGTGCCCCTTGATAAGGTGGTAAGGTTTTCGTTCCTTCGAGGGCTTATCACTAACATACCACTGGCCACTGAAATAGGAACATTCTTTTACGAAGCTTATTTTTTAAAAAAATTATCAAAATTACGAAAAAGTTAACATTTACACCGTCTGTAACTCTTGAACCGTACAATTTAGAGTGATTATGAAAGGACCATTCTTATTTAAAATTTAACGTAGAACATTTTTGTATATAACAATGTTCAGGATAAACCGCTTAGTTTTTGAAATATTTACGAAAAACTAAAAAAACTAGTGATTTTTCAAATTCCCCTCCCCCTCCCCCCCAAACCCGACGCTCAAAATGGTGTAACTTTTTACCAAACAATAAGAGGGTTACATAGAACAATTTGAGGTGGAATAAAACTTTTACTTTGGATGTCAAGGTTAGGCCTTTTTTTAGGTTAATAACACCGTACTATATCTGCCGATCATTTTACTCAATGTGATTCCGTTCATTTTCGGCATCATGTTCATGTTGCTCTACTACAAGGTGTTCCATCCTAGTACCGGGTATAGTAGGCAGCATGTAGCGGACACTAGCTAGCGGTGATCCTGATGTTATTCTTTTCATTTTATTGAAAATATCGTTGGTGAGGAATGAATTGCGCCCGCCGAAAAAATCACTCTTTTGGTGCAGGTAAGCCAAGAGTTTCAATTTTTTAGTACAATATAGTACCATTCGTTGGAGAAGAGCTTTTGATTCTACTGGAAAGATATTTATGTTCACAAATGCAATAAAGAAAGTTGTTACTATAACAGTCCACTAGTTGATCATCTTCCATATTTGAATTGAAAATCACATGAGTTATTGAGGAATAATTCAGAGTCACGCGAAGATGATGATGATGACCATGATGTAAAATTGCTTTCTAGGGAATCGATTATGATCAATAAGGTAAATTTAACTGATTAATTTTTGATCATCTCTTTTCAGTGCCAACATGTTTAGGCCAGAAATTAGCAATTTGAATTGAATAATCAATAGAAAATTATTTAAAAAATTCATGGAATCAATAACAACATTGAGGAATAGATAGTATTTTTAAGAACATATTTTTTGTTTTTTTATAATAATATGAAAATAGTTAGGTTCCAGTTTTTTGACAAACGCTTAGTGAAAATAATGTTGAGAGCATATTTTGCATGAACTTCCATGATCCATGATATTAGTGGTTATTGACTAGGGTGATCATGGAATTATCGAACATTATTGTACCACAATTTTCCTAGTAAAATTCTTGTTTTTTCTGTTAGTTAGGATCAATTTATTTCTATGTGATATTTTTTATTATTTAAATGAATTGCATATTTATTTCATGATATTGTATAGGCTGGGCGGCACTTTTCATGGATTAGGTACTTCTTGTTTTTTCTGGTCTATGCAATATTATTCAAGTTAAGTTTTATAGAATAATTTCTTTAGGTAATTGGATCTTATTTACCCTGCAATTTAAATGAATACCTACCTTTAAAAATATGGAAAATTGTGCTAGACAAATAAAATGTAAAGTGAAGCATTTCAGTTGCAGGGTGGGTATATTATAATATTGGTGCTTATTCTGCAATATGTCAGTTGATGTTATTTGTAGAGTAGGCCGATCATAAATCATTCAACTTATAATTATTTTGTTCTTCTGCATCCGTGGACCAACGAATATATCAATTTGAATGCCTTGCCTTGGAAACATCTTTTATCTTAGTTGAGAATTGTTATGCAATCCTCAAGTCTTCGTCTAGTCTTGATTTTGGTCTCAATTCATAGTTAATTATTTCATCCTTTTTTCAATTATTATCACACCATTAATTTACATCATTAGATAATATGTCTGTTAAATTTAGCTAAATGATATTATGTTCAGTAGGTAGTTATCAGCTAACAAAATGAAAAATTTATACTAGGTGAATAAGTTTCAATGACTTATACTCAAGGAATTGATGGATGTCGATAAACATAATGATTCTTTATTGGGATATAGGGCTTTAAAGTTAACATATTTTTAACGAAAATCTTAAATATGTGGTTCTGAGATTTTGCAGGTACACTGAGGAACCTATTTCACTAAGCCACTGACCAGATTTCAGTACATTTCTCAATTTGAATATTCATTCATTTATTGATATTTTGTTGCAATTTAAAATGCTCATTTGATGTCATTTAGAATCTTGAATTTCCACTTTTTTCTTTTTTATGGATCATATCCATTATATGTTCACGATTTGCTGACATTATCTTCTGGATTTTTGTAATATAGGGTGTTTTTATACCATAAGGAATAATTTTTTAAATATTTATTCAATACAAAGAACACCATCAACTTGAATTGCGAAGTTTTTGATGCCAAATACTGAATATTATTGATCAATTTTGTAGGAAAAGAAATATAGAAACCTACCAAAATTCAAAGGTACAAAGGGTATCAAATGCCAGTAATTTGTTGAATTGAATTTTTTCGAATATCTTGCAAATCGAACAAAACATCTAACATATATAATTAGGAAGTCCAAAATTTAGGCACTGAATGCTTGAATCGAGATATTTGATCAGTGGCTTACTGAAAGAAGTTCATCAACAATACTTTACCCATCTGCCACCCTGTCAATCGAAGTGTGTTATTTTTACATATATATACTCATTACCTTTGTGTACTTGAAAAATATCAGCTATATATGTTTATCGACAGCATCAAGATATTTAGGATTTTCATTGGAAATATTTAAACTTCAACGCCCTGTATATCTCAATAAGGAACTATTTCAAAACATATATTATCAAGTTTATAGTATTTCATACCTTGATCATGTTCTATCAGTGCTGGGAGTTTTAGTCATTAGAACTTGTTCACCCTGTATACATATGGCACTGCATGAAAACATTTTTCATGAAAAAATTTGAATTTTCTCCGAATCATCTCAATATCGCAACTAATGACAAAAAATAATACTCCATACATAGTCTTCTGACCTGAAGATTAAACCATTCATAATTGGTCTTTAATATACAGGGTCTTCGAGAACTGCACCGGGTGACTCAAATCCAGTTCACACCACCTTTTGTAAATTAAATAAAAATTAGGATCACTTCCGACGTGTATCGGCAGGTGCATATTATGGACAGTAAAATGGAGTTCGAAGGTCAAATGTCACTTATTGATTCATCAAGTTGACAGAAATTTCAGATGCATGTGCATTGGAATTGGGTTGCCTGGTATATAGCTTCCTATATTTTATATGAATGTACAATTTCGGGAACAACGCCGAGATTGATATTTTTTTCATTGTAAAATAATATCGATATATATATATGTATATTTTGAATATTTATTATTCCACCTTCAGAGAATAAACGTGTACACATACATATTTCTCGAATTACGAAGTTCACTATCCCATTACCATTTTTATATTTTCCTCTTCCTCATAAATTTAATATCTTCCTCGAATCCTTTTGATTTTTACTAGGGGCGGACTGGGTAGAAAAAACCTAGAGGGCATTGTGGATCAAAGGACGTAAAATGAAATGATATTGTCTAAGATATGCACTTGAGAGCAGCACACCTCAATAAAATTTTTATTGATTCACCGATTTCGGTGAACTTTTTTTTTCAATTGTGGGGCTTGAAAAACTACTGTAAGATTTTTTGAGACACCATAGGCCTGCGTATATTGAGGAAGGTACTAAAGATCAAATGCCTAAAAATGAACTAGTTATTGAAGGAGAACATGAAGAAAGATTAGAAATCGGAGAACCAGGCGTGTTTGGAAAAGAATATAATACTGATGAGGAAGGATATCGAAAACTAAAAGAGGAAAAGAAGGAAAATCATGGAGAGAAATTGAGGAGAAGTTAGAGGATTATGAATAAAGCAAAGCAGAAGCTTTTGTCAAAAATGTACCAGAATGATAGGAGGATAACAAGAAGAGAGAAGATAAAGAAAAATGGTATGAAGCAACAAAAGATGAAATGAAAGCATTGATGGAAAATAAAATATGGGATTTGGTTGAACTACTAATAAGGGGAAAAAAAGGGCTATACAAAATAAATGGGTTTGCAAAATGAAAACAGATGAAAGTGGCAATATAGAAAAGTAGAAGGCAAGATTAGTAATCAAAGGATGTCTGCAGAGGACAGGTTTTGACTACAATGATTATGCTCCTGTTGCTAGATTGAATTCAATGAGAATCTTATTGGCAGTGATTTCTTCAAAATTGCATGAGTTCTTGTGATCACAGTGGCTGAGAAATTGTGATTGATATTTTTTTCTTAGTGGACAAAGTAGATAATTTTGAGTACCTAATATACTATGAGAAAAAAATATTTCCAAATCGCCCTAGGAATAGGAAAGTATAGATCGAGGGATGCGGTGGACCAAATTTCAACCCTGTAAATATGATACATGTACATACAGGTGAAGCTAATAATAAAAGCCAGTTAAAAATCATTACTGCTTTGTGTTATTTCATCCTTTCTGATGACAATAAATTACCTGCTGTTTATATGAATAGAAAATTCTAGTAGGTTATAAAATTGATAGAGTAGGTATATATTATTTTGTGTAAATATAATTTTTTGGAAAATATCACCCCAACCCCTTTCAAGAGGTCAATTATGAGAAAAACTGAAAAATCATACACATTAATGTGTAATGTGACTGGCAACAATTGTTGCTGGTTTTAACAAAATTTTTTACAAGATAATGTCTCAGTAGCTAGGCCCATCATCCAAATTGTCATCTTCATCCTCATAGTTCTCCCCATTATCAAAATAATTATTAGCATAATCAGTGCCATCATCCATTTCTTCATCCTTATCTTCCAGAGATTCCAAGTCTTCTGCAGGCTCATCTTCATCATCATTTTCCACTTTCACAGTGATGTTGTTATTGTCTGACTTATTTTCTAGTTTTTCCAGAAAACTCAACCTGTAAATTAGAGTTTTTTTGGCAGTACAACCACATACAACATTGATTTTATTGAAGCATTCTACTCTTCCCTTGTAATGAATTTCAATTGGAAATTTTGCTCTTTTATCCTTCTTTTGCTATTGATCTACTAAACACACAACATTGATTGTATTGAAACATTCTACACTTCCCTTGTAATGAATTTCAATTGGAAATGTTGCTGATTTATCCATCCTTTGCTATTGATCAACTATTTGATTAATTCATAAACAATATTATGAAAATGCAGTATGTTCCTATTGAGAATTAGTACAGGTGAATAGATACCAAATCATACTAATAGTAGAATAGTAGAAGACAAACCTCTGCTCAATATTGACTTCTTTCACAGGTTTTTTCTTAATTCTCTTTGCCATTACTTTTGGTCGTAATTCTGAGGGGAACAAGGACCAATCAAATTTTTCCTTAGCACTTGGTAGCTGTGCCAGCAACTTATCAATTTCCTGTTCTGGATGGCTTTTGTTTTGGGGCATTTTCAGATAGGTCCCTGACAATTGCATGTGGTCTATGAAATCTTGGCGTAGAATCAAAAGATAATCCATTTCCAGAGAGTTCTAAAATGAGGAAAAAAAACCTCCAATAATAACTACCTACTTACTAAGTTTTAAATTTCCTTTCATGGTCATCACAGGAGACAATCAAACTTATTTCATCTCGATTCTGCTACTTCTATAATTGGCCAAAGAAAATTTACTCATGCTGCTCTAGCTGAATTTAATAAATTACCACATAATATAAAAAATTGCAGACATATTTCAAAATTTAAAATTGAATTTAATAAAATACATGATTTCATTATGAAATAAATAAAATTTATACTTTGCCATCTATTGATTAGTCCATGGCTATTTTTATGACTTGATCAATTTAGCATTTTTAGATTTTTTAGATATTTTTTTGATGTCACCTTATATTATTTTATTATTGTTGTTTGTAATCAACTTCCTCATACCAGAATTTTATTTCTGGCTGGAAGCTAGTTTTTCAATAAACAATAAACAATAATAGAAATTATCAATATAAACATTGATTGTTGTGTTCCTCATCTCAATATATTTATCATTCTTGTGAAAAAAATTTGAATTTTGCTGAGAAACATTTTTGTTTTTACTGTTAATGGTACTGGTCTCCTTTCCAACTGTGGATACAAAGGAGGTGGCTGTGTGACAGGTCCTGGAAGCACCTCATTGGCAGAGATTCCCAATGAATTCAGTTGCTCCCTATTGAATGACTTGTTTACTGTCCCTCCACCTCTACCACCTCTGCCTCTACTGCTCATTTTTGAACTGTTATTTGGCTACTTCCAGTTTTTTCACCTCCTTAGTAAGGATTTCTATTTCTCCCTGTCCCTTCTTGAATGATTCCTGGAATGGAATACAAGTCAATCTAAAGAAAACATAATAAAGATGTTTATTTACTAGGTCATATATGACTTTGACGATCAGGGAACAACTAGGACAAGTAGCGGTTTCTTCTCCAGCCAGTAATTCGTCCTGTTAAATGAATATTTTTATTATCCTACCACACTTCCTGATTAGCTCTACCTTCGTGATTTCAAATCTGTCTCCACAAGGACATGGGTAGTGATAAACTCCTTCTTCCTCGTCAAATTCGAAGTCCTCAATCTCAACTTCGTCGTGAAAAACGCTCATTACTTTCAAATGGTAAAATTTCAGTTTCTAGTGGTCAAATGGCAAAATTACTGAACTTTCCTGATCTAACCTAACCTTTTATAACTGTTTTTGACCTTCTTCCTCGTCAAATTCGAAGTCCTCAATCTCAACTTCGTCGTGAAAAACGCTCATTACTTTCAAATGGTCAAATTCTCTAGTGGTCAAAATGGCAAAACAGGTCCCGTGCACGATGACCGACCCTGGAGGCAAAATATTGAAACACAACCTCATTCTTCTGTGAATTATTGAAACACAACCTCACTTTTTATTTGTTTGCAGAGGAACGTGTTTCTTGCGTTATTCATTAATGCAAGCATGCCTTCGCATTTTGCTGTTGTAAAATGCACAAAAAATGCAGCAAGAGACTAGGGAATATGATTTTTCAGGTAAATAGTAATCTCACATAGTTAGCATTATGAAATGTTGTCAGCTTAGATCATACAGGTCAGCATGCCAGACCATTTCCGGATGATGTAACCTAACCTTTCTAAAACTGTTTTGTCATGATTCACGAATTTCATGATGTTCAAAAACAGCTCCCTACTCGCACAAATTCATTCTGATTTCTGACCCGAAAGGAGGCATAGGCAGGCTAGCTGATTTTGGTATTAAAATGAACTTTTGTGTTGGTTGCAGAAACAATATATTTTTAGTAATTTGTCCGAAATAATAATTTCCAGTACCTATCACATGTCATTCTTTAACAATTGCTAATCATTATTACAAGTGAATTACAAGTCGTGATTACAAGACACTTGGGCAATAATCATTCATTCAATGTGTATGACTCAGTCATGGTCCACCAATATTCTATGATTCAAATTTCTCGCTAATAAGATCCGTGATTCAAATTTGCAAGAATTTGCTAAGACCAAAATCGATCTGATTGGTCTAATAGCCTGCCTATGCCTCATTTTCAGGCAGAATGAATTCATGCAATCTTACAGAAGTTTATTGTCATCATGATCAATTGATTATAAACATCTCAATTATTAGTACAATGATATAAGTACCATGAAGAACAAAAATTGCCACCATGTCACAAGACATTTTATTGAGTTCTGCTGTCCGGTTTTTGTGGACTTCTCAAAACTTCAAATACATTTTATCCATCAGTTAATAAAAAGGAACCAAAGTTGTACACAGAATCACTATAATATATTTAACACTTCACTTGGACTTTTTGTTTTTCTTCTTTGTATCAGTAATACTAAGCCTCTTCTTCTTAGTTTTAGGAGCATATCTTGCTTCCAAATCACTAATAAATGTATCAAACTCAGCCACTCTTTTTTGCATGTTTGCTTCAATTTGCTTATCAAGTTCTTCCACTAAAAAATAATCTACTGTAGATCTACAACATTGAGGTAATGATTTGATGATTAATTTAAAAAAAAACATACTGTCAATTTGTTCTGATAATTTCTTTTCTTTCTCATACTTTCTGTGTCTCCTCATTTTCTTTGCCTTACTCTCATTAAAGAATGTTTTGTAATATTCCACTTCCTCATTGTCAACCATTTTTTGCACTATATCTATTATTCTAGGCTCACTATCACAATTAGAGAATGGTACCATCTCCAAGATGACATCCATATTACCTGAAAGAATAATAAAATACTTTTGCATATTTTTACATCACTTCCCCAGCTATATATAGGTATCTTTCAAAAAAGCAAGCATAACTTCACACTTCCCATAGGTTCAACCATCCTCCTAGCTCTCAAATGTTGTTAATACATAAATATACATCAATATATTGTATTAATATTAATAACAACCTCAAGTATAAAATGCAATATATCCTAGCAATATACCTTTTCCACCAACATATGCTCTCTTTATGTCTCTGAGTTCAGTGTCTGAGCCAATGTACTCTCGTTCATACTTTTGTATGTCCTTTATCTCAATTTTCTTGAACATGTTTCTCCAATAGTCCATACAATTGAAGGAAGTGTCCATTTCATCATCAAATTGTCCACTTTCATTATACAGATTGCGCTTGTCTGGATTCTGCAGGATAGAGTGGATCTTTCCTAGGGCCTTAAATTTCTCTGTAGCAATCTCTTTGTGGTCATCATCCACTCTATCAGGATGAAACAGCAGTGACAACCTGTAGTAGGCTTTTTTTACTGAAAATTTAATAAAAGCACAATAAACATATGAGACAAAGGATTGAGTAGGAAAATAAGTAACTGAAAACCTTTCAGAGTATTATTCATCAAAAAATAATATTGGACCCTTCAGCCATCTGGGGTGGAAGTCATATCATGATGAAAAGAAGTACACTATGAGCATATTATGAGTATTTAGTTGGGTATAAGGTACTTGGTATTTGTACTTACTCTCTTTTTCGGACGCATTGCGATCTACTTTCAAAATTTCATAGAAATCACAACATCCAAAATATTTCTCACAAAGGGAATTGAAGTCAGCCATTTTAACACAAGTATTTCAACTCCAATACTAGATTTTCCACATAGAATGAATCAAAACAAGCAGATACGTATTATTGTACTTTCACGTGTGTATGTGTATCGTGGTATCTTTCAGCGTTTTCACCTGAAATAAAGAAAAGAAAATGCCTATCACTAGTATTTTGGTGAATAAATTTCCCGCTAAAATGACTTTTGTTTGGTAAAGAGGGTATTGAGGTTAAATTGCTCTTTTTCTTTCCATGCCTTCGTAGCGTTCCTTGCTTTGTGCTAATGTCCGTTTGAGTACATAGCTAGTGTTACTGTAACTTACATCGAGCGGTCCCACGGTACCGAGCTAGGTATACACTTTCCACACACTTCCCGTTTCCCGGAAAGCATCGAGCTCAAGCCGTTACCAAGTTACGGCATCTTACAAGTTACCATCGCTCTGTGACGTAAACAGCTTGTGACGTCAATTAAGAGATGCCACACACGGCGTGTCGATTCGTAGTCATCAGTCACCGTTACCAGACCTACTATTTTAACAGTGATCTACTGTTTTCGTCTCCGTTCTACTGTTCAAGGCAATAGTGGCAATAGTCTGAATATCATTGTCTGAATGGTCATGTTTTGTTATGACATATATCTACCTAATTTTTTCGAGATTTTTGTGATGCTCAATGAACTTATAGAACTCTCGTGGAAAAACAGACTATATTTCATGGAACATGAAAACTATAAAACTCAAATTATTTATTATATTTTGGCACCTCGTCCTCGAGATCACTTGTTTTAGCTAGGTAGTACCACTCTTAGGTACGGTTGATGCCACAATGTATTGAGTAAGAAGAAGAGTTTTTATCATACAGCACCCTTCCTTACCGACTGGACCGTGTACGTCATTGTCATTACGCTTTTTTGTGTACGCGTTGGTGCCACGACATTTTTTTTCTTGTTTGATTTTTTTGAAATATTTGATCTTTTTAATTTAATATTGTTATTTTCCTCTTTTAGATAAATGGGGAAGCATAGCAAAAGCGATCGAACTGATCGGAGGAACCGAAAGCGAAAGCATTCGCGATCGCGATCCCCTCCTAGAATGGATAGTCAACAGGAGTTGGAGAGTCTCTCTAATGAGGAATTGGTTGCTCCATGTTGCTCTGAAAGCCGAAATAGAGCGCTCTGTTCGCAGTAATCAATCAGCTGCTAGTTATAGCCAAGCCTCCTCCTATAGTCTGGAAAGTCCAGAAAGTTCAAATGAATTTTCCCAAGATGGCACACCACCTTCCTCTCCAATTGGTGGAACACCACCATCACCTATGGAATACGGAAATGTTGTCATCATCCATAACTATGTCAAGCTAGATGATGACATCCTAGAAGCATTGGGGGAAGACCCTCACAAGGATACCAAGAAGACATATGAACTACACTCAAGTAGTCCAAAAGAGATGGAAAACCATTCTCACAGAAGGGCTTGATAAAGGAGAAAAAGAAAGGCTAATGGAGCTACATTTGCCTCCTAACCTCCAACAAATTTAACATTGTTGAAGGCCCCAGATATAAACCCTGAAATTCTAAAGGCTATACCATCAAATACACATAAGAAAGACAAGTTACAACAGCTGACCCAGAGGCAGTATCAACATCCTCTTGAAGGAAGAGGATAATAAAGAAATCAAGAACACAGTTCTTGGCCTTCTTAGTGAGTCAGGAAAAATATTGACATATGTTCACTACAATATGTCACTAGGAGAGCCCTTATTACACCTATGTTGAGTAAAAATGTCAAAGAGCTGACTAGTGCAGCACCTATTGAGGAGCTGTTATTTGGATCAAACCTGGGTGAGCATATAAAAACAGCAAAAGCTGTTGAGAGATCAGTTATAGATCTCAAACCAAAAACAGATACTGTATTCAAGAAGCCTAGTAATCAACTACCAAGTACAAGCTCATCAGGTAGTGGTACATATAAGATGTAACATGAAGGCCTAGCTTAGGCTAAGATTCTGATGTTCTATCATCCATACAGTAGTTGTCTGTTCTATGCCTATAATCTTCATGATTAGTGTTCTATGTATGGGGACTGTCAAATAATAATCATGTCATAAGTTGATGCAATTATTTAATGTAAAATACTTATTACATTATATAAATAATTATCAGTGTTTAATTATAATAATTAACACAAGGTCTTTATAACAAAGTCCATATAAACCCATAACATAAGAGAGGTGATTCTTTAAACTGGAGGGGCCTGTCTGGATACAGGAGAGATCACAGACAGAAGGGGCAAAATCTCCAAACACTTGAAAGTAGATAGAATGGTAAGTTTTTTTCTCTTTGCAGGTAGTTTGAGGTTTCCCAAAAATCAATGGAAGTCCATCCTATCACCACATCCAGAAATCCTGAAATGGATATCTGGTTACAAGATTCCTTTTGTTAAAAAGCCAAAGGCTTTGTTACACAGTGGGAATCATTCTGAAAATGAATGCAGGGAATTAATGTTAGAAGTAAATCACCTTCTTGATTTGGGAGCAGTTGTTGAATGCAAGGAAGCAGTATCCCAGTTTGTCTCACCATGGTTTTTGATAAAAAAAATCCAATGGTAAGGCAAGGTTCATCCTTAATCTAAAAGAACTGAATCCACCCCATTTTAAAATGGAGGACAGTAGAACAGTCATAAAGCTGATTAAAAGAAACAACAATATGGCAACCTTTGATCTCAAGGATGCTTATCTACAGATCCCAGTCCATGAAAAGTTTAGGAAATATTTATGATTCAAAGTAAATGATACCTTATATGTATGAATTCACATGTATGGCATTTGGCTTGCTATTGCTCCATACAAACCTAGAAAGTCAGGCAGCGGTTACATTTTTGGGGGTTTACACTACTGACTTGGAACGTTCATATCAATTATCTAAGATCCAAGCTGTTCAGAATAACTTTCCCAATTAAAAGCCTCTCAAAAAATGTATCCAGGGACACCCTACTGTTGGCTCCGCTGTTGGCCTTACCATGGATATAGCATAGTAGATAGTTAATCAAAAGTTGAGATAGCGACATGTAAGCCGTTTTGACCAATTATGAATAGTTTTGACACAAAAAATCCTTGAACTTGGAAAATCTCGATTTTTCACACCCTATATTTCAGTAATTATAACTGCTAGACCCCAAGTATGATGGGTCGTTGAAATCAGCTCATCAGGGAGAATCTCAAAATGAAATAATATATAGGGTGTTCGATAGAAAAAAGTTTAACTTCAGTGTTTTATGGTTTTTGGGGACACCCTGTATGTTTCGAAATAATTTCAAATGGTAGCCTATGTTGACATGCAACTTCCTAGAGAGGAAGTATTCCAAGAAGATAAGTGGTTAGCCTTCTAGAGACCGAGGCGTTACTGGTGGCCCACCCTGTATACAGGGTGTATCTAAATAACACCGAAAAAATTCAAGGAGCGATTCCTTGTGATATTTTAGCAAATGAAGTTCAAATTAACATTTATCCTAACTTGCTCCATTTTTGAGATACAGCTAGGATGTTGAAGTTGAAAGTATCAATTGTTTTTATTTATAACCTCCCTGTATAAGCTTTCATGGTGTCAAAATTCAGTATGGTTGGAGACTGAGAAAGCCTCAACATTTCAAAATGATTGTGATTGGGGTTATTGATTGAAGACGGCTGTGGTAATCTCAATGGAAGTCTTGGAAACACCTATACAGTAAAATTTGGAGTCAAATCGAATTATTATTGTTTCCTCAAAAAATGAGCTGAATACTGAAATCACGCAGTAGATAAAAAAGTTGTTATTTCAAAAGTTGAATCTGATAAAAATATGAAACTCAGAATAAGAACCCATGGAGTACAATGTTACATTCACCATAAATATCGATAAATTTACCCACTGTGACGCCACTGGAAATATTTTTTCCAATCTTATTGCACCAGAAGAAGCTTAATATATCTATTGATTGAAATTGATGGAAAGACAATTATTGAGTAAAAAATTAAAAAAAAACGATTTTTCATGGAAATATTGTTACCCTGTATCTCAAAAACGAACAAGTTAGGACACATGTCCATATGAACTTTATTTCCTAAAATATCACATGAATTCGCCCCTTGGATTTTTTCGGTATTATCAGATACACCCTGTATATATATCCCGGATAGAATTAAGACTACTATAGTTTGAAGGGTTTTCAACCATACATAGTGTTACCATTTTTTGGGGGTAGTTCAGTATGTGTGACCTCAACTATATTGACCTATATCAAAAGATCGATACCAATGAAGCTAGCAAAGCCACTTTCGAATTTCACCATGAGACACATCTCATGATTTTGAGCTCATTTTAGGCTAATTTATTACCCCATTCCCGAATTTTTTGCTCCTCCCTATCATAGAAAAATCTGTGGCTTTGCTAGCTATTAGGCCATTTTTGAAAAACAATATTTTTTGAATATCTGATATAGTGAGAATGTAGTGCTCATTTTAGGCTAATTTATTACCCTATTCCCAATCTTCTTGCTCCTCTCTATCATAGAAAAATCTGTGGCTTTGCTAGCTTAGGCTGAACTCAGCAGAGCCATTTTTGAAAACATAGATTTTTCACCGATTTGATATATTGAGATTAAAGGGCTAATTTAAGGCTAATTAATTACCTAATTTTCGTATTTTTTGCTCAACGTTTCAAACAGAAAAACTACAGGACAATTTGTCGAAATATGCGTCATTCACTTTACATTATGTTTTTCTATCAAAAGCATATTTTTTCATTAGGCAAAGTGTTCCTATTGATTGTAAGCTTGATAACTATCACATTTTGGAATTTTTTGCTACATATTTTTTAAAAGAAACCTGTAGCTTTGCTGGCTTCGGGCAAACTCAGCAGAGCCAATTTTTAAAATAATATATTTTTCACTGATTTGATATATCCATATTGAAGAGCTAATTTTAGGCTAATTAATTACCCTATTTTCGAATTTTTCGCTCGATGTTTCAAACTAAAAAATAC